GCATTGTCATCGCAATGTAAAACTTCTGTTATAACATCTTTATTTATTACCACTTCTCCACATTTCTTCATGAATTCCATTTATTAGAAAATTTAACCTTTTGTTTTTGATATCTGGAAACCTTCAATTTCATGGCAATCATTGTGAAGCTTAGCTAGCATGAGCTATACACTTCTGTTCATGTATCATGAGATTGGTGATCAAAAACATGTTGTTCCGCTAAATTTTCTCTTGCATGTTGACAAAGTTAAGCATGAATTATATTACTTTAGTTATTTATTATACTTAGGACTATTTTCTGCACATGCTTAAGGCATATCAGAGTTTCGAAAATAAATTCCAACATATTCTTAAGGCTTATTCAAGGCTGGTGTTAGACATTTTGCAGCCCAGTATAGCCTCTGTGGGTCCAAAATTCTGCTCTCTAAATTATAAAGATTTTGCCATCCTTTAATTTTGTTTCTCAGTACTTCTCTAAATTCTAAAACTTTTGCCTTCCTTAACCTTTTCACGACGGCGCACCTTTGTTTAAGACGCTTGTGCGGGACGGAAGAGAATCGAAGGCAGTCACCGTACAGGATGGAGGTTATGCATCGCTAAGCCTAATTTTATAACAAAAATCAGAAAAACAAAAGTTTTGCTTCTAGCATGCAATTTCGTAATTTTTGGTATCATTTTAGATTATTGCTTGAGCTCTTATATATGTTAAAATTAGCCCTTAAAACATTTTTTTCTTTATTTTACTTGAAAATATACTTAAAAAATTGCTTATCTTCTAAAATAATTTTCAGAAGCACTATTCAAATTATTCCAAAATTTTAATTGATAAAATCCATCAATAAAGTTTAAAATTAATAAAAAGAACACAATAAAGACTATTTACAGTAAGAAGTAACAAAATTTAAAATGAAAATGATTGTGGTAAATCTCAAAGCACAGAGAAGTATCACTTTGTAACTCTTAGAAGAAGTATCACTTTTGAACTCTTTAGAAAATGAATCAGTACTCTCATTTGCGTTAGTTAAATGGTTCACTAACCATACGAGGGTATTCTTCCTCTGATAAATAGTGCCTTAACGCCATAATAGACTGGAGGTGATGCTTTCCTAAATAAAAAAAGAAGGAACGGAAATATCTGAAGGCAATGCAAAACGTAAAAAAACTGCGCACAGTAACCCTAAAAGACCTTACATAGTAGAGGAGAAAATAGAATAAAAAAAGGAATAGGATATAAATCAGATACGAGAATGTTTTCATTAGCACGCAGCGATTTAAAGAGCCTACCTCTGTTTACGCTTTCCCCCCCCCACCTTCGAACAACTGATGAGTAAAATGCTAAAGTCAAGCAGAATATATCAAACTCAAGGTCAGGAACCTAAAACTGTGTTCATTTCAAAAGTAATGGACACAGGATGCCATCTAGTGGCCTTCAGAAAAACGTTCCACCTTCAAATGCGTATACGCATCACCCGTCCTCTGAATGCGATCTTTACTGATGCGTGGATGGGACGCCTGGCTGTAAGAGACGTTCTTAGAGAATGTGTATATGGGAAGCCCGTCCTGAAAGGGTTAAATTTGCCACCTGTTACGGCCACGCCAGTTCTGCCACCAGTCCTGGGCTTAACTGAATAACATAGTTATTCTCAATTAAAAAGCAATAAATGTAATCTTTTGGCCTATGAATATCATTTGCAATTTTTTTTTTTTTTTTCCATATGGAAAGAAATTTCTGTTAAACTTTTCTTTGCCAACACACTGAACACTTCGAGTAGATTTAGCTGAAGCCTATAATCATCTTCAACATAAAAAGTTACCATACTCTTTAGAATTCAGTTGGTAATATTAAAAATTAAAAAGTGGTTGTTTGTTTAAATGTTGCTGAATGAATGCCATTTTTCAAGATGCAGTGTGTGTTGATAGCCATATGATGATGAAAACAAAAAACAGTAAATAATGATTCACCAGCTTGGTTTCAGTACCAAAGTGAAATTAAGAATCAGACCTCTCCACGTGTTTTGTTATGGAAAAATATCAAATTCGCAAATATAAAGCATAAAAAAAAAAAATAAATTCCAAAAAAGAAAAAGGTTGTTTCTGATTCTGAGGTCTGTATTTTAGATCATTCCAGATATTGGACATCTGGATTTTGAACTTTGTATTATGCTGCGTTTTGACTAGTAGTTGAAAATGTCGGAATGCAAATCCCATGAAGTTATATTTTACAAACTATCAAATTGTTCAAGTTATCTTGGGAAATTCATTTGGTAAAAATGTCAAGAATGGGGAAAAAAAAAAAAAAAAAAACTGTTTTGAAGAGATTTTAAAGCAAATAGCTGAATATTATCTAATAACTGTAAAAATGTAAATATTGTTCAGATTGATTTTCATTCTAATTGTTAAAGTAATAAAATGCATACAAAAGGATACATTTGGTCAGCTTTTATTTATCTCCATTGTTTTATTATTATAGAAATCTTGGAGGTCAAAAGCAGTTTATGACCTGTTCTTAGGTTATTGGGCTAATAATTGTCCCGTAATAAATGATTATGTGATTTTCTTTTTTTAAGTTAAAACATACTGCTGCTCAAAAGACCAGGGAAAAAATAGAGTTAAGTGGTTTACTACTCATGTTTGTTGTGTTTTTATTTTGGTTAATTTGTTGTTGTTTTATTTAATTTTCAGTGTTTCATTATGGATGATTTTTCATTTTTAATTTAGTTAATTTGTTACTGTGTGATGTAATTTTCAGTGTTTTATTATGGATGTTTCTTGATTAATTTCTTTAATTTGTTGTTGTTATGTGTAATTTTCAATGCTTTACCAGTTTTAAAAATTCCAGCTGTTTTTCATGTGTTAGTTTGCCAAAAAATTAGCCACCATTAATTAGCGTCTCTCCAGGAGCATTGGTTGGATAATGCAGTTGTATTCTACTTTCATGTTTATTCATGAATTACACAAGGAGTAATTCTTTCAAAATATTCAGATGTGTGTTAACTTTCTCTGTAAAATCCATGTTATGCTTTTTTCTGAATTTTTCCAAAAACCTAATTTTAGTCTTAAAGTTGGCTCATATTTAAATGGCTAAAAATTCCAAAAATGTGCATGATAAAGTGAAAAATCTATTAAGGATATTAACACAAAATAGGTATTTTGTATGAGAAGACTGTAATGATTTTCTCATATTGTTAAAAAAGTGTTTTGGAAAAGCAGTGAAAATGCAGTTATCTGAATTTATTATAGTACATAATTACTATTATGACTCACTTTATTTAAATGCTACCAAGAATTCTTTTGTTGATGAACTATGCCGAAGTGGAAACCCTATTCAGTGTTTTTCGCATGACAGAGGTTGATTGTGAGTGACTAATTAGGGTTACCAGCCATTTGGTGTTGGTTTGCAAAAAGTTCTGATTATGACTGCCGATGATAAAGTTTTGTGACAAGAGGGCTGTTGATGCTGTTAAAATAACAGATACCATATTAATAAAAAATGTGTATCTTCTTTAATTTTTATCTCAATGTCTCTTGACACATTTTTCTTTCATGTATTTTCTCTTATATTTTTGTGAATTTCACTATTTAAAAGCATGGAAAATTACAAAAATGATTCTAATTTTGTTTCATGGACAGGTGTGTTTTGAAAGGAGTTCTATACTAATAAAGATATTAAAAACTGACAATTTGAAAGATTCATCATATAACATTACATCATTTCATAAAGTTTTCTGGAGCTATTCTCAGTAATGAAATTAATACAGAAGTGAGAAGAAACAATTCTAAAGACTTGTAGTTTTTTAGAGCAACATAATTTTGTATTAAATTTAAAAGTTCAAAGATGAAAACAATTAAAGAGGAAACTGGTAATTTAAGGCAAAAGCAAATTCTTCTTTAAAGGTGTATTGTTGAAGATACTAACAATTTCAGATATTTTAGTAGATAATGCAAAGACTAATAGGAACATTGATTTGTTTATTTAAACAAGTGAATTTAGACAAGGGGACAGATGTAAATAAGCTGAACAATCTGGAAGAATTTCAGAATAAAAAGACACAAATATTTTGTGTGTTTAAATGTTTAATTGCTTTAATATCTTTTTAAGATCTTTTAGTTAGTTATTTATTTCTTAGATCTTGTCACTAAAATGCTATTTTTAAATTCGAACATACAATAAAAATGGAGGAGAAAAAATTATTAAAGTGACAGCCAATTTTATTGCCTTTATCTAAAAAATAAGTAACTAATTAAAAGCAGTAAATCGAATACTGTATGATTACTCAAATATCCTGAAAAATTAAAAAATTATATTGATTTTGATATTAATGATTTTGATATTAAGATTTTTTTTTTAGTCCAAAGGGGCTTTGCTTTGTCCCTAGGGACTATTGTTTTCATTTCGTGATTTTGCGTTGAATCACTCTGAATGTTCATTTCACTTTTCAAACTGTTGCCACCAAATATTATTGCCCTGTATTATATTTGAAGGAATTAAATAATGAAGAATAAATGTATGTATGTTTCTTGCATTGTGATAAAACAGCAGTACCTAGAGCCATCTAATTTTGAATGACGTAATCCTACTGTGAATATGGGCATCTGAAAGCCCCCAAATTTGAAATTTGGAATTTGTTTTATTATCGATTTCACATTTTGTAAAACTTTAACGAATTTTTGATTAACAAACTCATGGATTTCAAAGCGAGCAATAGCAGCATTTTACAAAAAAAGCATTTTTATCTCCGCGTGAGACTGTGTATCAGAAATTCTAAAGATATGCTCAATTTAAAATTATTTTTCAATATTGCTCTTGAACTGAATTTTATGGTTTAAAGGCAAAAAACATGATGTTTAATAAATAAAGGTAAACACAAAATGTAAAAAAAAAAAAAAAAAGTCCCTTTGGATGTAATTTAAAATCTGAAACCTTTCAGATTTTCTTCTTTTATGTGTTTCCCCCCCTTGTAATATTACATTGAATGTATCTTCTTTTGCATAATTTTCAGTGGTGAAGCTGCATTCAAAGCAATGACTGATAAAGCTGGTTGGGCAAAGCATCCCATGATGTACAGACTGAATAACTTAAATGCTAAAATTCCCATTACTTTTGTATATGGCTCCAGATCTTGGGTTAATAGGCAACCTGGTTTGCAGATAAAGTATTCTAGATTAAATTCTTTTGTTGATGTTCAGGTAAGCTTTGTGTGCCACTCTATAGATTTAATAATATCTGCATAGATTATTAATAAGTCTTTTTATGTGCCCAATCATTTCCAAACCAATTTGCTATATAAAAGAAACCAGACTAGTAGTCAATAAATTCTCATGAAATATTGTACTTTTATTAAAAAAGTATGACAATTTTTTATACAGCAACTTTGTAAAATCCAAGATTTTTTAAAATTTAATATATAATTTTTCTAATTAAGTAAAGAAATATATATGATATTTTAATGGGCTGTTTGATTATAATTAAAGGATTAAGATAACTGGTTTCATTTAGTGATGTGTCAATATATTTCACTAAACTGAATTTATCTGTTTTAACGCTTTCAAAAGTTTTATTTTCTCAGTATGAGGAATATTGTTGTAATTACCTTTAGATTAATTAAAATTGCTTTCTTATATAATGATGTAATAAATTTTAGAACTTGCATTATAAGTATTATATATTAATTCAGAAGTCAAACAACAAAAATCAGCGTTATATTTTCAAATTTTCATAGGACTAGTTTCGATGGTTTAACCGAACCATCATCTTCAGCTGCAAAAATGCAAATGAAGGAGATAAGGTATAATGATTAGATAAGCTAAGAAAGTCTTCACAGGATACAAGCTACTGGCGCCATCTGTTGATGAAACCAGAACTAAAACATAATTTCTTTAAAGGCTGAAGGCAAAGATTGATTGGAATTAGGGTCGTTAACTAGAACAGAAAGATTTTTTTTGAATATAAAATGCCTCTAGAAAATCCAATTCACCAATGGAAGAAGTGTTTTGAATAATTTTGGCAGAGGAAAATTGAAAGTGTGATTTTCGGACCAACAACGTTGGGCAACAGAAGACTTCTGTGTTTCTTTTTTTCTAACATATGCCTCATGTTCCTTAACGTGAAATTTTAAGGCTCTCTTAGTTTGGCCAAGGTAAATTAAGCCACACTGACAAGGAATCCTGTAAATACCCCAGGAATTCATATCAGGAATAGGGTCCTTGAGTATGGAAATTGGAAGTTTATGAATGGAAGAATAAACAACCCGAAAGTTAAATTTCTGCAAAATACATGCAACTTTATAGCTAGCTAATTGATAGAAAGAAGGGAATGACAGCAGAATTTTTATAATCTCTTAAAACAAGAGTTTGCCTTTTAGTGCGTTGTGAGGAGAAAGGCAAACTCTTGTTTGACTTCTGAATTAATATTTGTTCAGTGTGTTATTGTATCTTAATTAAGTATTATATAGTCAAATGTTGTCCATTTTTTTTTTAATTTTAATTTAAGAACTAATAAAATATTCATTCTGCAAGTGAGAATATGAGTTCAATATGGTGTTTTTTTGCTGTGATAACATCTGTAGTCTTATTTAATTTTCATCTTATATAAAATTAAAGAGAATTGAATCAGCAGAAAACATCTCAGTTCATGCTGACTACTGGAAAAAAATCACTTCATGCTCCTAGAGTTCAGCATATTTTGACTGCTGCTGTTAAGTTTTGTTGGGGCATGGTTATGAATTTTGAAATCCATTGTTTTCCTTGCATTTTAGTTGTTAGATAAGTAAACCATTTGTATCACCTTAAATTCTCTTAAAAATATCTGCCATATCTTTGGTTTTATGATTATTTCTTTTATTTATAATTTACTAAGAATTTTTTCAAAACTATGTACTTGTTTATGATTGCTGCTAGTTTCTGAATTGTAAAATTTAGCAAAGTATTCAACAATTTAAAGTTTTAGGTATGAAATTTTATTGTATGATATAAATTATAATTTTGACTAAATATTTTAACATTTTAGGTTATTGAAGGAGCAGGAAACCATGTATATGCAGATAAGCCAGAACAGTTCAATGCTTTAATTAATCGAGTTTGTGAAAGCTTAGAAAATGGATTCATTTTCCCTAATAATCTTTAAAATATAATTCTGAATTGTCTTTTTAAAGTACCAATTATGGGATCTTTGAAAGGACCATTTTAATGCTATTCTGATGACATCTTTTTCATTATTTAATTTGTTATGTATTTTTTATATATTTAATTTACATTTTGTATAAGATTATACTAAGTTAAAATTTTAAATTAAACTTTTTAACTGAAATTTTTTATAATTTATTTATTTACTATGACATTTTCAAGGTTTATAAGATGTTCTCTAATAAAAAATAAATAAATAAATAAATAAATAAAAAAATAAATGTTTATATTTAATAATACTTTCTCATCAAAATTTATAGCACTTGGGTTAGGATTATATAGGTTTTTTATGCAGTGTATGAAAACTGTCTGTGAAAGTTTTTGGTTATGTTTTGATATTGGTATATTTGTTAGATACTCGATGTTTATCTACAAAACATCATATAATTTCCTATTAAAAGTGTTTTTGTGTAAATGTGCCATATTATGTAATGTTTTGTTAATTTTGTAATTTAGTTTAAATAAGTTATGAGGATTTTTATAAAGTTATTGACTACTGTTATAAAAAGTGATATCTAAATGAAACTGACACTCTGAAAAATTAGTACTTTCTGAAAGTAGGCAATTTTTGTACAATTTTCTTATAACTGTACACAATAATTTTATATTTTATACATAATTATTAAAATCAAGATCTTTTTCTTTCTTTTCATTGATTGTTTTGTTGCTTATTGTTAAGTACTTAAGAATTTAGCAATTTTTTTTTTTTTTTTTTTTTTTAAATCTTAACGCCCTGAATTTCGCTGATTTTTTTATCTGCTCTTGTGAAGACCTGCATTTAGGCAGCTTCTACCTGCTAAATTTTTATAATTATTTATTTTAGTCTCTGTTTTGATTAACTTTCAGTTACCTAGATCAGTGGTTTTCCCTTAGGTACTCCTTTCACCTTCGCTAAAAATTTGCCTCTTTCCCAAACTCGAAAAATACATACACCCAAACTTGACTAAAATGTAGTTTTTTATATTTATAAACTAAAACTGAATACTTAATGGCTAAATTAAAACCTGATCTCCTGAGAGGTTAAATTGGTAAAGTAAAATGGATATATTTTTAGATTTCTGATTAATGCTTCATATCTATTAGTTAAGATACAATAACACGCCGAATAAATATTAATTTGGAAGTCAAACAACAAAAATCAGCATTATCAAAAGTCAGGCAACAAAATTTAGAATGCTGTCTGTGAAAATTTGAAAATATAATGCTGATTTTTGTTCTTTGACTTCTAAATTAATATCCATTAGTTGTTTAGTTTATTCTGTAAAATCAGTTTGATGTTATGTGGTTCCCTTCTTTTCCTACAAGTGCCAATTTGAGATGTGTGTTGGTGGTCCAAGCTACACTGTGTGGATCAGTATTCAGGAAGGTGTCTTGGAGTAATAAATATGGCCATTTCAAGACAAGAGAATTTATATTTCAAATTATCTTGAAAAGCTTTTTTTTTTTTTTTTTTTTTTTGTGTGTGTGTGTGTATGTGTGTAGAATAACAATGAGACCAATTGCAATATTCCATGCATAAGAAATTCAGAATGCTGTCTTAAATATATTTATGACATTAAATTTTAATGTTTAAAATTGAATGTGTGTAATAAGAACATTTTACAGTCATGTCAAACACAAGACTGCAAAATTCAATTTTTAACCCTGCATTTGCATCATCAGAAATCTGCACTGTAATTCCATGCATAGTCCCATATGAAACACAAAATTACATACAAATCAAGATGTTTGTATTAAATATTATTGTATTTGCTAACTTTAGCCATGGACTGTGGAAATGCCACATTTGTGTCATATATTCCTCAGGTCTATGGTTGGCTATCTCCGATAAAGTATGTAAAACATTTTGCATAGTAATTTAGGGGTACTGAAACAAATAAATAATTTCATGTAATGCTCTAAATTTTAATCAGCATGTATATTTGTGCAGTGTCAGAAAAACCAAAGTCTAGACATGATGGAGCAATTTTCATCACCAAATCTCATCTGTGATTTATTTCCTATATGGTATATAAAGGATTGTATGTTAGCAGGTAATTCCTATGACCTGAAGTTATTCTTAGAAATAGGCATCAAGATTTCTACATCCATTTATATAAAATTATTTTTGAAATATGATACTGATCATTCTAATATGTCTGTTTAATTATCACTGGAAGGCTTTAGATTCTTTTAAATAAGTAATTCGAGAAAGATTATTGACTTTTTAACTCATCTAAATGAGAAACTAAATTAGACATATGTGCCATATTGTTCAGAAATTTTATAAATATATGTAAAAATTTGTTTATGACTATATAATTGGGTAATATAGTTAACTGTACAATACAGGTATAGAGCTATATGGAATATAACATATCTTTCTATAGCTTTTTAGTATTTATATTCTTTCACAGTTGAAAGACTAGTACATAAATCAAAATCTTTTTCTCCTTCTACATGGATGCATTTTATATTATTAATTTTTAAGACATTAGTTTCAGAAGGATCACTCTGTTCTCCCCCCTCCCTTATTTGAATGTGTTAAATTTCAGCTCAAGAGTTGTTTCTTATGTTATATATATATATTTTTCTTTACGATTTTTTCTTAAAAATAATCTTTGAATCTAGGTAAAAAGCACAAGGGCTGTTAAATTTAAGCATATTTTTTTCATGATTTAACTTTTATAAATAACTAAAAATATAGTAAGATTATAATTTTAATTTATTTAAAAAAAGACAGGTAATGCAGTATAATTAGCAGAATCAGTGATTATATGATCAATCCACTTTTTATGATTAAATTTTCAAGATAACAGTCTAATAACATCAAAATAATTAAAAAGCTGCCACTTTATGTAATTGTCATCTCATATTGTAATAATAATTACAATCCTTTCTATTTTATCCTTTCTACCAAGACAGGTGATTGCAATGCTAAGGTCCATCAAAAGTCAAGGGACATAAAAGGTCTGTCCCGAAAATAATGCGCACTTCTTTTTTTTTTTAAGAAATTTATTGAACCGATTCATACAATTACTGAATATTTTTTGAAATACATCCCTCCTTCTTTAACACACTTGTTCCAATGTGATTTCTGTACTTTATATGTGTCCTGGAAGTCCGTCACGGGGATGTCCTTTAGCAACTTCATCGTAGCCGCCTTAATGTTCTTCAGGGTCCCTAAATACTGTCCTTTGAGGGATTTTTTAATCTTCGGGAACAAAAAGAATTTGGGCAATGCAAAAGAAGCAAAGCAAAAGCAACGCAAAAGTCTCCGACGGTATTTTTTGAGTTTGAAACAAAACTTTATTTAGTTTCAAAGTTTCGAGAGTTTTTTTTCCATCTTCATTGACTGAGTACTCACACAAGGGTTCAATGAAACAGGCACTGTGACTCTCCAGGAGCTCAGAGCCAACTGACGGTGGTTGCGCTGTGTTCTTAAGACTCAATCCACCCTTCCATGCAGGTGGCAACGACGAATAGTTGCAGCAGAAGAAAATTGGAGTGCATCACTTTCAGGACAGACCTTTTATATATGAGTTATTAAAACTGAAAGAAGAAGTACAGAAGATAAAAGTACAGCTGGCTTGGTGCATTTGAGCAACAATCAGTTCAGATGTTGATATCAATTGATTGATATAGGTGTAGACAAAGTAAGGTAGCAGTCAGTCACTTATTGACCATTTGTAAGAGGAATTCATTATAGTTAACCGAAGGAAACAGATAGAACAGGGGTACAAATAACTATTTTGCCAGATTGTTTGAAAAATTACAAGCCTATTTGAAATGTGTATTGCTAATGAAACTGTGGAGAGTTGTTCCAGAACATACTTTTAGATTCAGAACTAAATCATCAAATTGTTATAAAAAATTGAAAAAAAAATCATGCTGTGTTGGTAACTATTGTGCTTACATTCAATCAGATATGCTTTCATCATCAGGTTATTATAGGAAATATTTTCTAAGCATGAAAATAGTACAGTCAAAAGTCGTTAATTCGGACACCCATAATCCGGAATGATCTATAATCCAGACCTCAAAGATACAAACTTTTTGCGCATGCGCTGCGTTGACGCGTAATACCTTTACGGATGCAAATATGCGTGTGCGCATGCGCATAATATTTTTACGCATGCGCGTTTAATGTATAACGGATGGTATAAGCTAAGCTAAAATTATCTAATTCAGTTAATGTTGCAGATTGCGTTGTTATTTAATCTTCGAATTGGATCCGGCTTATTATTTTTTGCAGACTGTTAGAGCAATTTTATAAAAGTAAGCTTGAACTGAACTTTCGATTATGTCAAATAGAATTTTCATATATATTTACTAATATGTAAAGGATCTACAAAGCGAAAGTATGTTTCGAAGTCCATTAAACAGAAAGTGGAAAGTGGAATTGCTGCAAAAAATGGATAAAGGCATATCCTTTGATTATCTAATCATTCCGAAATATGTTTATCAATTTCACGCTGCTCTGAGGGGCAGGAAATGAATCAAGTTGTCAGCACTATCCTTATTTCAGGCATGTTTTTATTTTATTTTGTGGCTTTTGGCTTATAATTCCTTACTAAATGTGTATTTCATCTCTATGTACTACTCCTCTTTGATATGATTTAAATCAAGTTCCTCGTCATTATAATTCGCTTCCAATAGTGAAGAAAGTGACAGAGAGGTTTTGAAAACGAAAAAAAATTCGATTGACAAATTAGTCGGTATTCTCGCACAGCAATTATAGGACTTGAACAGTGGAACTTTGTAACTAACAAGAATTATGTCTGTTTAATAAAGAGAAAGTATTATCACATGAAACGAAGCAACTCAAACAACTTGCATTGAAAGATATGTTATAAAAGTAACAAATAAATATTAAGCTTTTTTCTTTTTGTAAATTTTTGATACCCTTTAATGTTCTTTATTTCATAAATTACGGTTTCATATTTTTTAATTTTATAATTCTGCATGCCATCTTATCAGATTTAAACTGATGATCTATAATCTGGAAAAATCGATAATCCGGAATCGCCGAAGTCCCGACGAGTCCGGATTAACGACTTTTGACTGTATTTCACTTAGCTTAATTATTACAGTAAACAAAGATTGAAATATTAAAAAAAATATTGAAACACTTAAACATTTATGAAACTTTTTTTATTGACTATACATAGTTGAAAACAAGAACATTTTCTAGGGGATGAGAACAGTATGTTTACTTTAAGGGTGGCCATTTGTAATATTCATGTTGATATCTTTCTACAGAAAATTGTTTGGCACATGTTGAACTATAATGGTAAAGCTGAAGTAATGATACACACCTGAATGATATCAAGCTGATGAAAATCAAGTTAATATTCCTACTTGCTATTACATTTCCTTCCTTTAAACCTTTGTATGGAAAAATTCTCAGAGCTTTCTGATGTTACTGTTGAAAAACTGTTGGGTATAGATTGACTTAATGAAACTGAAACAAAAGGAAATTGTTACTTTTAAATTATAAGAAATTAAATTTTAATATGTATTCATCTTAAGTAACAGAAAATGTATGGTTTTTTTCACATAAAATATATAAAGATTTTAATTATTCAACTGTATAAAATATTATTTTGGCTTTATTGTGGTCAGCCACATAATGTATTTAAATAGGTTTAAAACAAACGTGATCGCATAAAT